AAATATACCTATAATATTGGAGGGAAACTGATCAATGAGGAAATATGAGGAGTTGATTAATGGCTGAAACTCAATCCTGCCGCCCTCTACGGTTTGTGTGATAAACCTACATTTACCATTTGCTATAACTGGATCTTTGGGCCCAGTATTGGAAAAATTCGAACATTTACAAGCAATGATTTCTAACGAGAAATCATAACTTACTGTTGACCCGGTCACATCTTGTGATAAGATCTGGTTCAGTAAATTAAAAGTAAACTTCAACATCGCCTTGCAGCCAGTTTAGCCGCGACGAATCCGTAATGTATTGAACGCCCAACGTTTCGAACATATGATTCAAAGAGAACAGCTGGAACTGATTCTAGACAACTGTGTCTAAGTTTATCGTCAACACCGTTCTTCAAACTTTGCATATCGTAGACTAAGTGTCCCCAATTACAAACACCTCCGCATCCCAACCAAAAGTCATCCCGATAACCGCTCACTCTCTTGGGGAACACTGCATACAACATCGGGTGTGACAGTAATCTTGTAACAGTAACAACAATTCTCCTATGTGGCGTAAGGTTTTGACAACGATCCAGTGGTACTGTAACTTGATGAAGGTTGCCGAGTACTCGAATGCCAAACAGTCGTGAAACGATTGTGCGTCATCTCGACCGCTTGCAAGTTTTCTCAAAAGCGGTCAAATTAAGCCCACTTTAAGCTTGAGTTTGGTCAAAACGAACAGCCTGATAACCTTCATCTTTCAAATGATTAAGGTGATGCTATGGTAATTATGCAAGATATAAGACGAATTTTTAATGATATTACGCTATTGCGACGGTTTAACAGGTGGGACGATTCCAAGACCTACCTGGAAGAAGCGCATACGGTAATAGGATTTCTGTGAATAATAACTCTTTGTACAACATACAAACACAATATATGTCATATCACAATAAAAATGAAAGATGACCCAACTCCAAAGTATTTTTCTTTCAGATATATTTGTATATATGGATGTAAACTTAGTACATAGGGATCGGACGCTTGTCTTCAGGGTGTAAATGGTGTTAGTAATCAATATTCCTCCGAAAACCACATACCCTCTAGCTTACCACCACAACCTAGATGAAGACGACGTCGGTCATCTACTTGTACTCCGTTACAAATGCATTTACGCCTACAGCTTTCAAACGGTTTAGTAAAAATACTTGCGTGTGGTTGCGTCAGCAATGCTAAGATTAGATGATGGCGAGAAAGATTTAAAAATATTAAATTTTCGGGCGATGAGGCCTCGACAAATAACGACGTCAGAGTCACTTTGGGTGCAGCCATTTAAGTCAACAAGCAAACAAGGCTAGGTGTGTGAATGAACTCTATCAAGACGAATGTAATTACAGTCACAGAAACTTGGCTGACGCAGTCCATAGACGTTAGGGAACTTGACAGTTTCATACTACTAACAGCCGACAGAATTCAAAAGCGTAAAAGAGAGAGAGTAACTCTATTCACTAGAAATACTATTCCATTTATCGTTTTTGACAACAAAACCCATGAAAATGAGACGAGTAAATTAGTTAGTTTCAGCTTGAAAATCGGAGGAAAAGTGATGGCGATTGGTTTGCTCTGCTACAGTTTAAACTGTAGGGTGAATGTGATCGTGCTAGATGACTTCAACACTTGGTCGTCAAGTGGTTGATGTTTTAACACAAGAGACTTTAATGCATCTAAGGTAGACTAGAAAAATCTGATGACTGGATCGTTAGAACGTTCTTCTAACCAGAAACTAGTTGATGTAATTATCACATGAGTCATAGTGCAACACATGAGAAAAGCAACTAAGTACGACCCGGACTCCGAATCATTCTTATTAGATCCCATATTGACCCATTATGAGGACAGTGTCATAAACCTCGGTTATACGTCACTGCTAGTCAAAAGTAACTATGCAAGATAGAAGATCTTATACACTAGGCATTGGACAATAGAGCCAGAGTACCTCATTGAGACCGATTGGGATGTGATCAAAAATTTGTACATGAACGCCACTGCATCACACGTCCCTTGGACTACATCAAAGAGCCCGTATATATCCCATTATGGTTTAGTAAATGGGTTCACACACTTCTCCATAAGAGGAGAATAATGTGGGAGAGATTTATGCTACTCGGTACCAACAAGGTCAAATATCAATATCGTAAAGCTCAAAATGTTTGTGACTTGACACACCGAAAGTTCAGGACGTTGTGTGAAGAAAAACTTGCAAAGGCCTAAACAAGTGGTGGGCTGCAAGCTCTTTGGATTCAAGACTGCTGGTAGTATGCACGAAAGTGTCTTGTGGCTGACCATAGTTGGGAGGTATTGGTAGGTCCAAAGAGTTATCTGTCTAATTCAAGTGGAAATTAAGGAGGGACGTGCGGCTTCGGAGACATATTCAATACATTTGCAGGGAAGAAAATTAGGGAAAACTAAACTCAGAGTTTCAAGTGGTTTAGACATGTAGAAGGCCTATGATATGTGAGTAAGGCACAGATGTGTTTACGCTTGTTAGATCAGTGCAAGCAAAAGCTTCATCGGGAAGCCATACAAACGTATACAACCCATCTGCCATGAGTATTTCAGAAGGAAGTCGGTTCTCTATTAATAAATACTTGTGCTTACTTACGCCCGTTACTCCTCATGGAACATAGGCCGTCGACCAGCATTCTCCAACCCTCTCTGTCCTTGGTCTCCTTTTCTAGTTCCATCGATTTCTTGTTTATTTTTCTCATGTCTGTCTCCATTTCCCGGTGCAATGTGTTCTTTGGTCTTCCTCTCCTCCCTCGACCTTGAGGATCCCATGTGAGGACTTGTCTCGTGACTCAGTTCGGTACTTTCCTCAATGTGTGTCCTATCCACTTCCAGCGCTTCTTCCCGATTTCTGGCTCTGCTGGGACCTGATTTGTTCTCTCCCACAATAGGTTGTTGCTACTAGTGTCTTGCCAACGGATCCGATGTATTTTGCGTAGACAACTGTTAATAAACACCTGTATCTTCTGGATGATGGCTTTCGTAGTTCTCTAAGTTTCCACCCCATACAGTAGAACTGTCTTGACATTTGTATTGAAAATTCTGACTTTGATGTTGGTTGACAGTTGATTTGAGTTCCAGATGTTTTTCACTTGTAGATATGCTGCTCTTGCTTTTCCGATCCGTGCCTTCACATCTTCATCAAATCCACCGTGTTCATCAATGATGCTTCCCGAATATGTAAAGGTTTGTACATCTTCCAAATATTCTCCGTCAATTGTGATTGGATTAGTGCATGTTGTGTTGTGTCGGAGAATCTTGCTTTTCCCTTTGTGTATATTCAGACCTACTTCTGCTGGAGCTGCTGCTACACTGGTCGTCTTCTCCTGCATTTGTTGTTGCGTTTGCGATAGAAGAGCCAGATCATCTGCAAAGTCTAGATCATCCAACTGCATCGTAGATGTCCACTGTATCCCGTGCTTCCCTTCAGATGTTGACGTCTTCATGATCTAGTCGATCACCAGGAGGAAGAGAAGGGGTGAGAGTAAGCAACCTTGCCTGACACCAGTCTTGACTTCGAACGACTTTGTCAACTATCCTCCATGAACGATTTTGCAGTTTAATCCATCGTAGGAATTCCGTATGATATTGACTATCTTCTGAGGCACGCCGTAGTGTCGAAGAAGCTTCCATAGGGTTGTTCTGTCCACGCTATCAAATGCTTTTTCGTAGTCAATGAAGTTGATATAGAGAGATGAACTCCATCCAATTGATTGTTCCACAATTATCCGTAGAGTTGCGATTTGGTCTGTGCACGATCTATCTTTACGGAATCCTGCCTGTTGGGCGTCTACGGAGTCATTCATCCTGTTTAACAATACCCTGTTGAATAATTTTCCTAGTATTGAGAGAAGAGTGATGCCCCTGTAGTTGCCACAGTTGCTGAGATCGACTTTCTTTGGTATTTTGACTAGAAGTCCTTCTTTCCAGTCTTTTGGTACCTGTTCCTCATCCCAGATCTTTTTGAAGAGATTTTGGAGTATCCTTGCGGTTGCCGCTACGTCTGCTTTCAGTGCTTCTGCTGGAATGCTGTCTGGTCCTGCTGCTTTGCCACACTTGATTTGTCTGATGGCCATGCTGATTTCTTCAATTATTGGTGGGCCAACATCGATTGGGAGGTCCGTGAGTGCTGCTTCGATGTTGGGTGGGTTCAGTGGGGTTGGTCGATTCAAGTGTTGTTTGAAGTGTTCTACCCATCTGTTTCGTTGTTCTTTAATGTTGGTGACTATCTTGCCTTCCTTGTTTTTCACTGGTCGTTCTGGGTTACGGTGAATTCCAGAGAGTTTCTTTGTTGTGTCATACAGTTGTCTCATGTTTCTTTCTCTGGCAGCCTTTTCCGCCGTCATTGTTAAATCTTCCACATATTTACGTTTGTCGGTTCTGATGCTTCTCTTCACTTGCTTGTTTACTTCTGTGTATTCAGCTTTTAAGTTGGCTTTTTCTGCTCTTGTTCGGCTGATATTGATTGCTATCTTCTTGTTCCTCCTTTCTTGAATCTTATCCAGTGTATCAACAGTGACCCATTCCTTGTGATGGTGCTTCTTTTGGCCCAGAACCTCATGACATGTTGAAGTGATTTCCTCATTTATCCCTTTCCAGTTGCTCTCCATGGTAGTTCCTTCTCAATTGAGTAGATCATGAAAAGCCTGGAACTTATTGCTGAGGGCTATCTTGAGTTTATTGGGTTTGTCATTATCCTGAAGAAGAGCGTATTAAACGTTTTTGGTATTGTCCGTCACGTTGTCCAGTGCTTCTTGATTTTCAATTTCATCTTGGCGCTATTAATACATACTTGATGCAAAAGAAGTTTTCCCGAGTTATTGACCTGTATTATTCAACATTGACCGTAGATGCCTTATCTCGAATTCCTGAGAGTTGGGTAGGAGATATACTACAAGTGGCGCAAGTACGCACTCAACCGACTACTAGCACTTCAAATATGCAATGCCCGCTGCCGTTCAAGGCCGCGAAGAAGAGAGCGCGGTCAAGTTTGGGAGCTGATATTGTACGTTAGATGTCAAAGTCAACCTTGCCATTAGATACTTTCTTCAAGAACTTCCGATTTTTGAAAAAAACTGTGATAGTTAACAATAATGACTATAACGGCGCTTTCAGATCGATTAATAAGTGAGTTTTTTTAATTGTTTGTCATATGATTAAAATACAGTTCTGTAAGTTGTGCTTCACATTCTCGCACGTATCACGAAATTGAACGACAGTTAAAGGTTTAACGTTCCGTTCTTTGGAAAGGGGTGGGGCCAGTATAGTTAGATGCTCCAGCAGTAATTCTAGGTACCCGAGCTCCCAAGTTTGGGGAAATCCTCAAAGTCAAATGACCTTCACCAAAGTTGAAGGAGAATTTTGGGGAAATATTGGGGAATTTCACCAGGTCTTTGGAAATTTTGGGGTTTTTGTGCCATTTCCCCAAAGTCTACTATAGTGGCTTCCCCAAAATGGGTCAAATTTCCCTCAAAATTGGGAGCTCAGGTAGTTCAGAAGTGATTCACATAACAAGTCAAATATCCAGTTGCTCTATGAACACAGGCATTATCCTACTGAAGGCGGGCTCACGACAGGTATATATACGTATAGTTAACGCGTCAGATAAGGTTTTAAATCACAAATGTCGTGCGAATTTACAAACGAAAGGAACATTTTCTATCCACATGGTTTCTTTATACATGTTTCGACAATTTAGCAAAATACTGAACAACCAGATCAAAATATTCAACATCGACCGGCACAATATTATTTTGAAGCCACTTCGACCAAGTTGAGATCCCATGATGCTTGTGCCGTTGGCGACTCATTGATAAACACAGTGTCGACGGTCAATTATCTTGGTGTTACCTTTTCCTATGGTCTCTCTTGGTCTTCTCACGTTTTATTGTTATCGAAGAAGGTTTTCCGTCTGACTTACCACATAAAGAGATTGCATGCTCTTGGGATCACTCATCATTTACTCCTACAACTTGTCAATTCTTGCATATTACCTATTATTCTTTACTTTCTCCATTATTCTTCCCCGGACTTTTGAGAAAAAACTTTTCTGTATTGTGAAGAGTGCTGAAGGCAGTTAGCAAGTTATTTGGTAAATCTTTCGAGACCATAATTAATATGGTTGTGGATAGACATCTAAAGTCATGCAAACTCCTGGCAGGTGTTATTTTATCAGATACTTACCATCCCCTTCACTCATATATTTCTTCTTGTTATCTTCTGGTAGAACGAGACGAAATTACATTAAAATCCAAGCACGCAAGCAAAAGTATAAAAGTTCTATAATACCTTACCTAGCAAATATACTCTGTGACGAACAAGTTGTTAGAGTTAACCTAGTCAATAACCTACATTCTTAACATGTATCTCATTTGGAAATTTGTACAGTTTTTTTTCAGATTTTTTTTGTCAACCGTTTCTTGTCTTTGTTTCTGCAAAAGAAACTTGTTAAAATATTTTGTGCTGATAATTCTATATTGTACCAAAATATAATATTGAATAAAGCCATAAATAAATAAGAAGGGATTGCTTCAAGTAGTTTAATCAGAGCCACCTGTTATCCTTATTTACTGATATATAACCTAAAGACTTGTCACATTCAGCTGATAAGACGCAGTTTTATGAAGACTTTGTACGACGCTTCAGTATTGTAGTTATCCACTTCCTAATGGTTGTAGGTAATTTATCAGAGGCTGTTTTGAACCGAGGATTTGTATCAATTAACTGCCAGATTCTTAAAATTAAGAATCAGGAATTTTTTTGGACAATACTAGTTACATACAATGCTACCGCTAACAGCTTCCTTACAATCGATTTTTTATCAAAATGTTCCTATTTTGAAGTTATAGATCACTATTTCCTAATATGAAAGAAACCTAAAGATGTTAAGGACATTTCAAATTACGGATGCTTAACTAGTTCTTTCATGAATAATCCTGAGTTCTTATTTCTGAGCTTGCTAGAGTTGGTGATTCAATTGTGCCAGAACCTTGTGCAAGGTCTAAACTCTCTAGGAGTCGTTAGTATGTTTTAGTCCTTCCAAACTGTGACTAAGATCATTGTGATCAACTCAGGGGATCCCCATTTTATGCATTATGTCAGTACTTACTAAAAAAAAGTGAAAAAATGAGACAAATAAAGACAATGCACGTATAAGTTATTTGTGTCTTCATATATATGGTTCATCGCATAAAGGTTTAAAATAACCACATGAATGTGATAACCGCTGATGTATACCTAAAACATTTTCCATCTTGTTTTTCCATGGTATTTTAACTTACGACTAACATATCAAAGCTTCATTTCGAGCAAATGTTTGGCTGTTTGATATGGAACAAAATTTGTATTTGATTTTCAACATACTTTCAAAAGTCAAACGAAAATTTTGTAGTAATATAAGTATATACTCTGTACTTACTTCAGTGGCCAACCGACATATATATCGATATGAAAAGTTTGTCGTCGCGCATAATCACAATCGTTGCTTTGTTATACATAGATTATAAAAACCCATTCTTATTCACTGTTTAGTTTCCTAGCTTGGTTGTTAAACTTCACCATCACGTTGACTATATGTAGTAAGTAGTTTTGCATTTTACGAATCTCCTACGGTTAGCTCAGTCGGTAGAGCGTCAGACTTAATATGAGGGTCGGGGGTTCGTGTTCTCCATCGGGCGCCATGGCTTTTCTCTCCAAATGCCCCGGTGCGGCCGAGGGTGGGGAGAGTCAGCTCCCCCTCGATTTGCTCTCATATGGCCACGTGTATACAGCCACTGCAAGGGAAGTCCTACTCACTGCCTCCTCGTGGCTGGGTTATTGTTTACGAAATTGAGAGGACAAAAAGCGAATATTTGCCACAAAGATTGTTTTAACAGTTGAGTTCACGCGTTCACGAAACCACCATTGAAAACATGGAGGTAGTGGTGGGCTAGCTTAGATCGGATCCTAAATTAAATTGTTAAAATACTACAATCTCCACAAATCCCCACACTAACAAAGGTTTTTGTCGACTGCAACTTAATATGCAGCTAAACTATGATTCCTAACCCTGTGCAAATCCAAAGTCACTCGTAACCCACGTATGATCCGATAATGAACATCCACTCAACCCAAGACATCATGTCAGCTCAGCATAGTAAAATCAGAGATGGACAGTCATTTCGTTAGCTACGAGACAAAACTTTGTAATGTGATTGAAAGAAGAATGGAAGGATGTTTAAGGGAAATTGGAAAAAGGCTTAATGATGACTAAGACAGGTTTGGCAGCTGTTAGTTCTTAAATCAATGACGCTTTTGAACAGTGGATTTGTGAAATGTGACTACTTCGTTGGAGCTGAAGAAAGAAAATAAAATGGTCTCATCTCACTGTAAGGCATTAAATACTATAAAAGGTGGTATATGGGCTAGTAAGAGCGTTTTATTGACTTATGCAGTGAATATATCTTACTACCTGGGAATATTCGCTTGAGCGGATCTGCAAGATGTTTAACACAAAACGGATACTACACGAACCCCTGACTTATGAGAAGAAACATTATTATCAATAAGCCAGTACCTGAAACAGCTAGATCTCCTCAGACTTCCTTGTGAAATGAGCGCATGTTTAAGTATTTACCATAAATGATCAACAGTTGGTACTCAAAAACACCATAGAAATTAAGCTTAATAGACAACTATTAACGCAAGAAATATGCTGATGTAAGAACCCATTATCTTTGAATTCATAATTCAGAAATTTAGGTGAACAATGTTGGTTTTATGGTTAGTAGGCTAGGTACAGAAAGCAAATCCGTCGTTAAGGCTATGAACTTACATCAGTTCAAATAACCAAGCCATGTGTTGTGCACTCGTTTACGGATTCTTCTGATGTGTTGTTAGATTCGGCCATCAAGGTGACTGAAATCATTTCCTTTAGACATATGAAGTACCATTTTTTGTCACAATTGGTTGGTCAATGGGCGGTGATCAATGTCATGGGTGTCAAGTCCTTATTAGTGCAGGTCGAATGCTATCGACCATGTTGCAATGTGGCCCCCAGTCTAGGTGACTCGACACTGCGTGCACTATGTTGAGATTAGATGGTGGTTGGAGGTAGTCGACGGGAAATCCTGGTCGATAGCATTCGATCTGCACTAATAAGGACTTGACACACATGACATTGATCACCACCCAGTGATCAATCAATTGTGATTACATCTCCCTGCTTCGGTTTGGGCACCCGGGCAGTATCACAGCCCTCACACAAATCAATTGAGATTCGTGTGGCGCGTATGTACTTGGTGCCTCCCTGTACCTATACTTATGTGTTAAAATAAGTAAATAAATAAGATTACATCTCAGTCATACAGGAGGTCAGTCGTGGCCCGGATAACTCAGTGGTAGCGTCTCTGACTGTGAAGCTGGGTGACGCGGGATCGAGTCTGTCAGGGAGCACCAGTCCCCTCAAGATTACAGGTACACCTTGCTGACGAGTGCCAAGTAGCACGAAACCTGGGTTCAGGGTTTCCAGTCGACTACCTCCAACCTCCATCTAATCTTACCATTTTTGTACATGTATTGTAGAGGGGAAATTTAAGAGTTTATATCATAATAACAGTGTGATCATTTATGTTGTCTTGCTAGATTCATTTATTTGTATGCTCATTTTGGAATGTAAGATCTGAATGAGCATACGTCTGTCAAGTGCATTCACTTCTATTATTTAACTTGGACTCGGTAGTGTAATTAATTTAAATACCTTATATTCGTATTCTTGTAATCTAACTTATAAGGATACTTTGTCTACCTATCTGTTTATCATATTCCATCGATCTATTGATCTATAAATATTTGAGATATATTAATTAAATGACACTAAACAGTTTTGACTCATTTCAGATATTTATTTATTTATTTTAACACATAGATATTTGTACAAGGAGGCACCAAATACATATGCACCACACAGATATCAATTGATATATGTGAGGGATGTGATACTGCCCGGGTGCCCAAACCGAAGCAGGTGATTTTCTTAGAGGGTCACACCCCGAGCCTTCGACCTGAACGTCTGACCCACAAGGCAATGGAGCATCGTGAGGAGATGCAGTCCCATGGAAGCCAGTGACCAAGAAATTGGTTCATACGCCATTTGTTCTTTCAGGATACTGGAACCCATGTGCACCATTGATTTGGGATCCGGTTAAAGCGCCGGACGTTCGCTTTTCGTCCTCTCATTTTTGTAAACAACACCCCCACCACGAGAAGGCCTTGAGTAGGACTTCCCTGGCAGAGGCTGTATACGCGTGGCCATGTGAGAGCATTTCGAGAGGGAGAGCGGACTCTCCCCACTCTCGGCCGTACCAGGGCATTTGGGGCCCCCAAATGCCCTTGTATGGCTGCCCTCATTTCAAATATAATAAAGATTAGACCCGTCTAGTACAATCCTTAATTTATTTCCATTATAATTGTTGGTGATTCTTGTCCCATTGTCATTATAAATCAAATACTTTGATTCTATTTAATACTAATGTGCATGTCAGTTAATTCATTTACTTAAATATGCATTCAGGAATGTTGCTATCCTAGTTCTTCAATCCATTCTTCATCGGCCATCAAAGTAAAATTAAAAAATATAACAAAAAACAAATTTATCTTTATATTTACTTCATTCTTTCTTCACCTGTTTTCAGGATAATAAATTCTGATAAGATAAGAAGTACGGTCAATTTTCAACAACGTTATGAAAAACCAACTGATTGGAGACGAAGATATATGTATGAACGATGTAAACGTGTGTATGACTCTGAGATGTCTAGGAAAATCTCACTTGTTATACGCACACATAGGGTTGATCCATGGCCTCGTTAAAAACTATGTGTATGCTTAGTTGTTCTTCTCTGTTGTACAGACTTACAATTGTTAGATTTTGTTAATATAATACAATTTTGTTTATTGAATTGGTAGTTTTATTTCTTTTGAATTTTATATTCGGAATTGAATTTCTAAGAATAGGATGCATTAAAATAATTATTTTTGAAGAGGATTTTGATTGTTTTGGATAAATATGCTTGTGTTTATTTATTTGTTTATTTGAACACATAAATGTTGGTACAGGGGGGCACCAAATACATATTCTCCACACAAAACAATGAGAATTTAAAGAGAAGGGAAAAAAGGTAAGGTACGTAGGGAATTATAAAAAAAGAATAATAATGGTGGAAACGAAAAGGTACAATCAGAAGAAATCTTTCAGTTAAGGGAGAAGCAACCACTTTTTATGAAGAAAGTAAAAGAAGGTTACAGCAGGATTGCCACTGACTTCTATTCTGAGCCATATCTAATAACGTCTCTAGCCACTGTGTTACACCATCTCTCGGGCCCTAGCCACGGAGTCGTGAAGGACCAAAAGAAGCGAGCCCTTTGCAGCTTTCTTTCATACCACGACACCATGTCATATACTAACCACCTCTACGCTTTTTCCAACCAGTCCCAAAGTCGGCAAATAATGCACGACGTGGAATTCTCTGGGACGACATTCGTAGAACATGTCCAAGCCACCGAAGTCGGTGTTTCAAGATGGTGACACCAATTTCATTATCGTCTCTGTGCCCGAACACACGATGTCGAACCTCTGCATTACTAACAATGGTGTTGCCACTGGATGCCAGCAATCCTTCGGAGACAGCGATGATCGAACACAGAGAGTCGTCTAACATCCTCAACTCGGAGAGGCCAGGTTTCACAGGCATAGAGCAGAACTGCTCTCACCGACGCGTTGTAGATCCGAACTTTTACAGCCAGACTAACATCACGAAGGCGCCAAAGATGGCCCAGATTGGCATAAGCCGCTCTGGCTCTCACTATACGTGCATTGTTCTCATCACTCACGCCACCACCAGCACTTATGCAGCTACCCAGATACACGAACTTCTCGACGAGTTCTATCTGCTCACCATCCAGAGTGAGTACATGATTAGAATCCTGCCAGTCTTGTAGAAGTACTTTGCACTTCGAAGGTGCGAAGCACATACCATACCTACGGACACTGATTAACTGCGGATTGCATGGCTTGAACATTCTCGCACAGTAAGACAATATCATCCGCATACTCAAGGTCGAGAAGTCTCTCTCCAGGCAACAGATCCACACCACCATTACTTACATCCGTCAGAGCTGTTTCCAGAATGTCATCGATGGCAAAGTTGAAGAGGAGTGGTGAGATTGGGCAACCCTGTCTAACCCCACTGCTCGAATGGAATAATGGAGAAAGGTGGTTGTATGCCCTCACTCTGCCTGAGGTGTTTGTATATAGGGCCTTTAGGTTGTTAATAAACTTCTCAGGCACACCCTTCTTCAATAGACAGTCCCAGAGAACAGACCTATCCAACGAATCGAAGGCAGCCCTGATATCGAGAAACACTACGATTGTTAGCCTTTGATAAGTATGGCGGTGTTCTGACATTTGGCGGAGGGTGAAGATATGATCAATACATCCTCGACCAGAACGAAACCCAGCCTGCTCCTCGCGAGTCAATTTTTCTCGGGTTCTGAACAACCTACGAAGTATGACGGAAGCCAATAGCTTGGACGCAATCGGAAGTAGACTTATCCCCCGATAGTTGTTATAGGAACGACGTGAACCCTTTTTAAAGATAGGGACAACTATCGACTCATTCCATGACGTTGGTACACACTCTAGTTCCCAGACCTTTGTAAACAACGCAGTCAGTTCCTTAGTCAGAAAGTCACCATCATCTTTAAAAAGAGCCGGAGGTAAGTCGTCTGGGCCCGGTGGTTTGTAACGTTTCAAGAGTTGGAGTTCCTTGCGGACTTCCGCCTCATTTGGTGGATCGGTCGTCACCGGCCATGGAGGACAGGACAGTCTGACCGATGTTGCCGGTGCAGCAGGCCAGTTGAACTGTCCTTCAAAAAATTCTGCCCATCGTCCAAGACGTCGATGGATGTTAGTGATTGGCGTTCCGTCATCCTCACAGATTGTTTCGCCCACACCAGACTTCTTGCTGCCAGTGGCTCGGATGAGTTGGAAGAGCTTCCGGTAATTACCAGATGCAGCTGCTGCTTCCAATTCACTGGCACGCTCCGACCACCAGGCTTCTCGGTCCTTACGCAAGCTTTGCCCAATTTCAGTATGTAACATCCTTCGTCTGTGGTCAAACTCACGGTCACCCGGAGTAGACCGACGGGCTTCAATGAGGACGCCAGGTGGCACATCGGCGATGACTGTGCCGAAAGTTAGTGCTAGCCATAAACAGGTTGAGGTCTGTGCATATTTGCAGTAGACGTTCTCCGTTATCTGTCCTGCGACCAACAAGTCCCCATCGGTCACCTAAACGACTCTCTTCTGTGCCTAGACGCCCGACCTGAGCATTCGAGTCTCCAGCTAGTAATACAATATCTGTCGAGCGCACTTTCTGGAGAAGAACAGATAACTGGTGGTAGAATTCATCCTTGATTGCATCCGGGCTGCAATCTGTCGGGACATAGGCGGAGGTGACGAAAAGACATCGTTTCTCACGCCGATTTCTCACTTTGATGGTACTTTTTAATCTAACAACACATAACCGACTGTTAATGGGGATGCAATCGATTAGTGCTGCCTCAGCTCTAGCGCTTAGTATGACACCAATGCCGGCAAGACCAGACGAAGATGCCACAGTGTCCACGGATAAACGCACGTAAAACAAGTTTTTGAAGTGACAAATGGAGAGCGAACTTGTAGTACTTCACCAGAGTCTTGAATACGGGTCTCAGATAGACAACAAACGTCAATATTAAGACTTTCCAAAGACATAGCCAGTCCTATCTGTTGTCCGACCTGCATAAGTGTGCGAACGTTAAGAGCAGCCAGTTTGAATGGTGCACATGGTTTCAGAAAAACTGCTTCAGTACTGGTATTCGGTGGTAACATAAAATTTTCATCCAGGCAGTGACTCGAGAACGTTTAGATAGAGCCGAATTTCCACCATAGGCGAGCTGCTGTACAAGTCAAAAAATAAGGATAGATAGAGTAGGAATAAAAAGGAGTGAATAAATGACGTAGTAAATATTAATAATAATGTGAATTGTTTGACAGTAAATCGGGGCGAGAATAGAATTTTCAGTGAGTATCATCATTTTCATTATCATTACATTTGTGTGTAGGCTGAGATACTGCCCGGGTATTTATTAAAATTGGATTTATACCCATTAAATCGTCATAAATTGTGTCAACTTTTATAAGCTTTCAGATTATTTTTATGTTTGGTTAGATATGAGTGAAGGTGTACCTAAAATGCACATTAAGATCGCGCTAGTCAATTATTTAAACATAAAAGCATACGAATCAGGACGAAAATGTATCAGTCCAAATTACTACCCTGTGTATTAACACAACGTGAGGAAAGTAAAGGATTCAAAATAATACCAGTATAAATGATAACAGAAATCATACATAGAAAAAGCAATTGAAGAGTATGTGAAATGGAGTAATAAAAAGTACCAAGTAACATTATGTCTTAATATTTATCAGTTAAAGAATTAATAAATCTCCATTGAGATCACTTTGTAACGTAGCACCCAACATCTCTAGTGTGAAATTCGTTTTAGTTGCAACCAGTTAGGTTCCTTTGGCATCTTAAGTTAACTGTAATGACAGATATGTCACTACTGAACTTCGCCTGTTGTTCGTAGTTTATCTTCTGATGGAGTTGTGATGGTAGGTTTTGGGAAGATTTTACAGGCTATTTGAGCTTCTCTGAGTAGTAATCTTTTGTCGTCATATTAAATCATGTTATTATGTAACCTGTAGAGCGTTATTATTCACCAAATTTACTAACGAGTTTGGTGCATACTGTTGATGAATATCTTATTAATTTCCTTCATATTAGAGTTACAATATAAGGAGTAAAATCCAGTCACAGGTGATTGTGATGTACATTTTTCGATTGCTTAAGTACTCAACTTCCTAATTGCTATTTGTATTATTAAAGATTGTTTGAGTATAGGAAAGTCCCCCGACTACTATTCTTAATCTATTTTTTAGAACATCAATAGAGTTTAGTGGGAATATATAGTGATTAATGTTGAACCGAGCTAGTTTCATTTGGCGCCAGTTACTTGATGATCTCTTTGAGTATTGGGATTTGGATGGTGTTTTCGAACCATTCAACAATATAAAAGATGTCGAATGAGTTTTTGATGCATGAAGAACATATCAAAAAATAATATTTCTCCCCATAACGCTTATAAGTTTAAATTAACACCAACAAAGTATTAATATTTTTTAGCTGTGTTGTGTGAGATGTTGGAGAGCTTTGTCTCTTACTGTTAGCCTTCATCTTATTTGTAACAGTTCTACATGGGGGACCAAAAATGTCCCATACAAAGTGAAGTGATATGTACAAACGGAAAAGAAAAAGACCATAAGATAAATATCTAAACGAGGTAATTATAGACTAAAGGACGCAATTCGATTTCAGAAAAAACGATAGATTTCGTTCAGTTATGAAGTTTCATCTTTCGTAATGAAGAATATGATGGGTAATTACAATAGCATCGCTTTAGCTGTATGTTCTTCAGGGTGTCAATATCAGGGCTGTGATTGACGAACGAATGCCAGTGGTCTACAATTATCTTTCGTTCCATGGCGTTATATCATGAACTGGCAACCCTTCGTTTTTTTCCATCCAATCCCAGCATCGACAAATGATATGTGGTATAAAAGCCGTTGGGACATCTGTCAGACAAGTGCAAGATACCGAATCCGTAGTTCTAAGTCGGCAATACCAATTGAAGTATTCTCATTCTGCCGGCTTTCGGCATCATGTGGTGTTACTCTCTAGATGTGAGAAAGGCTTCAGGGATAGTACTGACTTGTCTCTAAATATATGTCTACAATTATTGTATAGACAGTAAATGGACCGTAATATTATCAAGTAATAACAGTCCAATTGGTGTA